TGCTTCTGTGAATGATGAATTGATCTGCTTCAAGGTTCAACACACTGAGCATTTATAAATGCTCTTCTGCATACTTTTGTTGTAATACTAGCCTGACAGGCAACAACAACCATGCCACTTTCAAAGTCAATAAAAGGACCTTTCTCTTCCAATTCTGATGCTTGATTTGAATTTCAGAAGGTTGTGAAAAGCATTGAGTCTTTGCCATGTTACAACATACCTTCCATGTGCAAGATCCTTACAGTATAATGGGTCTTATTCAGACATCAATACATTCAATTCAATTTCATTTATATAGCGCCAAATCACAACAGCAGTCGCCTCAAGGAGCGTTACATTGTAAGATAAAGACCCTACAATAATACAGAGAAAACAGAGAAAACCCAGCATGAGATAACCCCCTATAAGCAAGCCCTTTGGCAACAGTGGAAAGCAAAAACTCCTTTTCAACTGGAAGAAACCTCTGTCAAAATCAGGCTCAGGGCGGGGCAGACTGCTGCAAGCGTTTGGGGGTGAGGTAAGGGAAACAGAACAAAGACACGGTGTGGAAGAGAGCCACAGATTATTAGGATAATTAAGAATAAAAATATGAAAGACAAAGCTAATCCTACAAAATTTGCTAATCTTTGCCAGCTTCATTAATTTGTGCAAATAAATAAGTTTGGCACATGGTATTTAATTGGTATGTTTGGGGTCATTTATAGTATTCAGCTACAAATATCGGTGCAGCGACAGCACGTCCACATACTGTTCATAAATTAAAAATAGATTTTTTTGGTGACTTTTACAGTAATAGCCTTTATGTTTTCAGTTTTAGAGTCTCTATATTACATTACAGTCTGTATATTTACACAGACTTGTCAGTGTAATTTCAATTTGATTTGGTTCAGTTCACTGACTTTATTAGCTGCAGTGCAAAAACGGAGGCATTTACAACCACAGAAACCTGGTTTCTCTATCATGCGTCGCAACTATCATTGCTTGTATGTGTTTTGGTTTTTAGGCTCTGCTGCTCCATGGCTCCCTCCCTGAGGAAGACCAGGATGGATCCGTGAGCTTTGGAGATAACCGGGCTAACACCGAGCAGCAGCTGGTACAGTGCCCTCTCTCTGCTAACTTGAGAAAACAAACAACAGTTGCTCGCCACCGAGCTTGAAGTGTCCGTGTCAGCCCTTCTGTTCTGATGATGTTTGTAGCCATTACTCGTCTCACGAGTGGCCACTATAGAGCACAAATGAATCTCTCTGATCTGCCAGCGCACTGTCATGGAGGCCCAATGCCTCCTCATACGTTCTGACATTTTTCCATTCTCTAATTACCCCGCTCGTACCCTCTCCCTTTGAAGGTTCTCATCCGCAGTCGTCTGGACCAAAGCATGGAGGAAGCCCTTGATCTCAAGGTACAGTAAGTAAATGTAATTAGGTTTAACATAGAGGAGCTGTCTTAGGGGCAGAGTCCTTTTCTCTAATGTTTTTGTTGTTCCTTTGTGTGGCTCTTAGAGGGAACTTCTGAGGCACAAACAGGAGACACGTCACATTCAGGCCATCAAGGTAAACCTCTTACTCTAGTTTTGGGCTTTATATGTGAAGTAAAATGGATTAAAGGATTATATTTAACCTTTTTGACTATTGCGCCCTCCCAAACTGATGATTCTGTAAGTTTTATCACATACATTATACATTTATCATTTCTTTACAAAGATCAAAAGAAGTTTAGAGCTGGGTGGATCCTGTCGATGAGGCAGGTGGATGCAGTTCATCAGTATTCAGGTCTTTTCTGGACAATTCTTTGATCTCCCTCCTGCTTCTCATTAGGATGCTCTGCAGCAGCGCTTGGCAGTGCAGGAGGATGCTGTGCTGCAGCTAAAGCAGGAACTACTGAGGTGCAACATGGCCAAAGATCAGCTGGAGGGGGAAAATGTGAGACAAGTGATGATTTCCCTTTGACACGATGAAATATCCGACCTCTTTGACTCGTGGCTGCAGGTTTAAGTGAGAGAACTATAGCACTCATATATCACCTTGATATAACTGTTTGCAGGCAGAGCTCAAACGCAAGCTGAGTGAAAGGAACAAATTACTTAGCGAATATGAGGTATTGTCTTTTATTATATACACGTCAGTGCATTCTTTTAGCCATAGAGATGCAAATAAAGCCTCGTGCCATCCATCTCTCTTGTCACAATAGCAGCAGCTCGGGAGGAAGGACAGAATACTGCAGCAGCAGCAGCAAAAGCTTGATGAAGCTCAGCACAAGGCACATGAAGTCAGCCTGGGACGGGTATGCAGCATGACAGGTTTCACATATACGTGCTAAATAACATATGTTTGAAAGCAGGACTCATATATAACACCAACGTTTGTTTGTTTTTTTTTATCGCGCATCGGTCTGTGATTACATTGTACTTGCCGCAAGATAGCCCATATATTTCTTCTTACGAGAAACATTACTCAATAAGACCAAAAACTATAAATATATTAAGGCACCATGATGCTTGAAGAAAACATTACATTTCCCACTACACCTCAGCGGTGTGGTCTTTATAAATTGTTACTCAGATCAGAGTAAATGGTGCATTTGTTGGAGACTATTTTCAGTGGCAGATTAATACATATTTCTTGCACCGGTGAGTATCCCTTGCAGCAGGATGCTGTATGTGAAATCGACTCAAAATAGACTCCTGTGCACGGTGTTCATCATGATAGGAAAAAAACATGTCACCCACTACGTTGTGATGTTTTTTTTTATAGTTTTTGGACAAAAGTGAAGCTCTTATTTAGATGAATAAGCTTTCTGGCTGTTTTTTTTAGCTACACAGGCCCAGTGTTTGCTCTTTGTATTGCAGTTTGAGCACATTTTGTAAATATTATCACACTTTTCACCTTGGTCTATACTGTCTCTGTCTCTGATAGGCGTTCAGGAGCGAGGGCAGCGGGTACAGTCACTCAGTCGCTTCGACATCTCCTCCAGTGTTCCAGCACAGCGCACCAGTATGCACTCTTTAATTTTCTCATTAACCAATAATGTCTGTAAATGTCCATAGTTCAAAATGATTTCGAATCTTTTTCCAATTCTTTTTAAGTATCAGAGGACTGTTTTTCACAGGGTGAAGAGCTGCAGGTCGTCAGGGAAGCACTTCGCAGTTTGAGGGACAGTTTTTCCGGCCATGACCCCCAACATCACACCCTGGACACTCTGGAGCAGGGCGTGGCCACTCTCATGGACAGACTGCACTCTCTGGACACCCAGCGAAGACAGGACAGAGGGGTACACACTCTCGCTCTCACAACTCAAAGAGGAAATTTTAAAATGTAGTAGCTCGTCTGTCACTTGCCAAATGATGACTCAGCAACTGATAACATCCGACTGTTTGCTATGAGTAATTGGTTCTTCTTCTAGGAGGAATTCAAATCGCCAGGACGCAGAGCCAACTCGACAGACCGTGACTCCTGGCCGCCGAGCTCGAGTGAGACAAACAAAATGCTCGTTTTTGTTTAGGATTTGTCATCCCCCGCAACATCTCTACTGGCTGTTAAATCAAATTGTGCCATTCAATTACACTGCGCTGCAAAGAGAGGGCATGACTGAGTGTGAGGCTAGAACCCTTTCAGACTTTGGTTGTGGAAAAACAATGTTTGCTGGGTTTTTTTCCAGAAATGGCGCACTCACACAGCAGCCCAGGACTGGATACTGCCGTCTCCACTAAAGTGCTCTACTTCACAGATCGCTCGCTCACTCCATTTCTGATTAACATCCCAAAAAGGTGAGTATATAAACACTTTATGGTGGCTTGATACAGTACTGTGTGTTGCTTCACTGGAGCGTTCTTTATTTTTTAAGCAAATTGTTAGTTGGGTTTTGGTTGACCATAGCCTCATATGGATGCCTGGGCTGGTTTATCCAAAGCATAACGTTTGTGTGGATATATGTGTGCTTCCAGGCTGGGAGAGGTGACACTGCGAGACTTCAAGGCAGCTGTAGACAGACAAGGCAGTTTCAGATACCACTTCAAGGCCCTTGACCCAGAGTTTGGCACAGTGAAAGAGGAGGTAGGCGTGGGAGTAAAATTACAGCCCCTATTTCTCTTCACATTGGGCTTCAGCTGGCAAATATAAAACTGCAGTTATAGAGTAAGATATGCTAATAATAGCTGTGCCTACTGTGCACTTCAAAACACCATGGGGCGACTTATTTCCATCCCAAAGAATTGGATAACCTCAAGTATTCATTTTTACTTTCTATCCAAACCTTTTATAGTATAGATATGGGTCTCTCAGATATGTAAACACTGGATGCTGGCTTTTCAGGTGTTTCAGGATGGAGCCGTTGTCCCTGGCTGGGAGGGGAAGATTGTTGCGTGGGTTGAGGAGGATCACGGAGAGCGGAGATAGCGCCAAAAAACTAGAGATCGTCACTACAAACCTCAGCTGTTCCCACTGGACCAGGAAGCTACTGAAAATACTTCTGATGCCATAAGAAAGAATAGTGTTACGACACAAAACTGGGACCAATGGAGCTAACACCATTAAGGTACAAAACAAAACCATGTTTTAAAAGTGAATGTTTCATATGAAGAATCTAAACATTTGGATACAATGTTTTTTTCGTTTACGGACCGCATGTCGCACATTGTTTGCAGCTCATAAATAAGTTTGTGGGACTACCACGTAATGGTCAGTAAAGTCATACTTGAATAATAAAATAATGTTAGCTTTATATGAAAAAACAAGCTACGCTGTGCTTTAAAAAGCTGTAATCAGTGCATAGTATGCAAACCTCAAAAAAAGAAAGAAAGAAGTGTTTACTGACATTTTCCACGTGTTCCAGATTGCCAAACACTGATGTTGTTGTTCTGCATCAATTTTGATGTTTTAATAAACATAAATTATTGCATGGTTCGTTTTGTTGTCAATTATTCCCCCCTGCATACGGTAATGACACCAGCTCGTAGCCATTAAACACCTCCACTCACGCGCCCACACATTAATAAACAAAATCCACAGATTGTCATTAAAGTCAATTAATTTTTTTTTTTTTTTGGGGGGGGTGGGGGGTTAGAATTAAATTTGCTGCTGAGCCTCAGCCCACACAGCACAAAGGGACACTGTTACATATTTGTTTCACAAACATGTTGCTCTTGGAAATGGATCAATTTACACGCAAGCTGTTTATTGTTAGTTAACTTGAATTCTGAGGCAGAATACGAGTCCCTCCACAGCACAATGCGCTCTCAGTGCTTTTTTCCCTTTTTTTTTAATTTGTACATTGCACAACAGGAGTTTTGTTGTTTTTGTTTGAGGCATTTTCAATGCCAGTGTTTAGCTAGCTTAACAAACACTGCACATTTGTTTCTTAATTAAGGAAAATGATCACAAGACATTCACTTTCAATGTAAGTCTTCGTTTCTTCTTATTAAAGATGGCAGACGCGGTGTCTTCGTTTACAGTTTTTGGGAAGTCCACAAGCAAATAGTAAAGATCCTCCACCTCCAGTAAGACGTCATCCTGCAGAGAAAAATACATCCAGTGTGCTACTAAGGCTCGCTACAGGTCGATTATGTATTTCTTATGACATCCAGCTACACACTGACACACACTGGATTCTAAAGTGCTTCGTTATAACTGTTCAAGGAAGTGTGTAACCACTAACCTTGGACATGCTCAGCTGGCATTCTGACATGGAACAAACCATTGGCAGCTCCACCGTCAGTTCCACGCTGTCAGGAACTCCTGCTGCATCGGTCTTCACCTCGAGTCGATACTCTGGCTTCTGAGGCTCTACAGAAGCGGCTGAGATGACCTGGATCAAATCCTTCTTTATTTTCTCTGCAGGCCTAAAGATAATTTGAGGAGCAGAGTCCTCTTGGTTTTCTGATCGTAGGGAGGAGATGTGCTGCAGGAGGGCAGCTGGTGTCTGACCGGCTGTAAAAAAAAAAAAAAAGGACTATGGATTATCAGGAAAATTGTTTTAGGAGGTGAAAGGAGAGTGGGTAAAGAGCATGGGTTCAACATAAAGTGCTTATCAAAGCTTGTCAGGGTTGACAGACTTATTGCATTACCTGTGTTGGGTTGTTTGGGGGCACTGGACAACTTCTGAAATCCAAGCCGGCAGTGCAACTCATCTGGGCTACTATTTGGGCTACTGTTGACAACTCTGTACTGCTGTGATAACGTCATCCCAAGCTGCTTCTGGGCAAAGCTCAGGGCCAGCATATAGACCTGGTTAATCTCTGCTTTGTTCTCCCTACTTTCCTGCAGCAACACAGGATTTAATGCCACATCCAGCACAGTATACCAGCCTGTAAAGGAAAAAGTATGACTTTCTTGCTTGTGTCATGTAATACAAATGGCAGGTCTGCAGCTTGACACACACCTTGATCTTCATTTGTGCCTGTTTCCAGTTTCCCAGTGTACACTGGTAAAGGCCTGCTGGGATCCTGAGGCGCAGGCACACGTTTCCAGCCGCATATGTTGATGTACAGCAGGCCTTTCTTTGGTTTCTGTCACAGAAACACAGTGCTGTCAAAAGGATCTGTCAAAACAAACTCAATTTCAAAGTTCTAAGTGGATAAAAGTCTAGCATCTTTGCAGAGTGAAGAAAAAGCCTGTGTTTCTCGTGCAGCCTGTGTATTTTAGGATATATAAAGCAAGCACAGCTTACAGCTCCTCAGCAGAAATATTTTTAGGTTATTACTTTACTCTTGGTTGGATAAAAACAAGAAATTTGATGACAAAGCTTTCACAGCTTGTAATGGACTACACTAATTAATAGGACTAGAAGTTATAATCCCTATCAGTATAACACAGACCTGAGTGGGTTGGAGAAGTCCTCTAGATGGGGTGTTTGCTGCTGACCATATGGGTATGTATCTGTCAGTGCGACACATCATCAGCTTTGTACCCCAGCTTCATAGTGCATTTCCGTAATTTCTCACAAGATTCCCTCAGCCAAAGCAGACCCACCACAGGGTGATGAGACCTGGGTGTATTTCACATGGCACCCACCAGTAATTTGGCAGGCCACACGGTCTCCTTCTGCTTCAGCCAGCCCCTGTGACTACTTTCTTTTGACAAGAGTGGCAAGCTTTTTGATTAACTTGTACTAGGCTTCCCTTCCTAATGCCTACTTCCTTCGTCAGTCTTACTGTGGAGCTGGCTGCAAAGCCCCTACAGGCCACTTACACTGAATGGACTTCCACTTTCCAGCCTTGGTCCTCTTCCTCAGCTTGCTCATGCTTTTTTCTTGTCATATGCCTTATTGATTGCATCCTCCCAAGGGACGATCAGTTCTACAGTGAAGACAGACTGGCATGAACTGGACCAGAGAACCAGAGCTGGGTCCAGGTTGATTTCAAGTGTAAAGGTATTTCAGAAAGATGGGGTTGACATGCTATTTCTCACCTTCCCAGATGAAGGTTGTTTGTTGCAGAAAGGTGGCTTTAACTTCTAATGAGCTGCAGTTAGTCTATACTCTCCTGACTAATAGCTACCGACAAGTTAGTTGGTTGTGTCACCAAGTATATCCTCCATGTGTTAGACTGGTTTTGCAGCCCACCAGGATGTGTTTGAGGGTTGCAAACAAGTAACAGACTGCTGGAGTGAGCAGTACATCATATGTGGGCTGTTTTGTTTTCATATTCCATAGCTCACTACATTTGATTGTTCTTCCTTTTTATTCCTTCCCGCATCATTCAGCGGCCTTGCTGAAGTTAGGGGACTGCTGTTGCACATCTAGTTGATTCCTGGCAGTCCCCCTCCTCCACCATCAGATGTCTGTATTACTTGGGTGAGCCTTTTGCGGAGTAGGTGTTGTTCCCAATCCAAATTCTCCTGTAATGTAATTTCTTGTACCAATGACAGGACCTGAGACACCGAATCTTTTTTTTTTTTTGATGATGGGTACTGAGCTGTATCCTACCTACCTACATTTTCTGATATGACAGTTAACTTTCCCTAATTTATGTTTGAATTTAGAGTATTAATTTATGATTGGAGGAATAAAGGTGGGCTTCCTTTCTAGCTGAACCAAAGAATGTGATGAGCAACACCTGTATGGACCACAGTATGGACTGGGGCCTACACAGGAAGGAGCCTTCACGAATGAAACTCACCAGTATTTCAGTGCAGAGGCAGGTGTACAGCTCGGGCGGCGCTCTGAATTCAGCTCCTTCCTTTATCTGTTTCTCTATAAGCGTACGGTAGGCTGCAGGGTCATTTTCAGAGAGATCATCCAGCATGGACCACAGTTTGCTCATCTGCTGCAAAACATCCTCTGTACTGCCAGTGGAGCACATGTTAAGGTAACTGTCGTACTTTTATTACCTAGCTACCTCTAGCTAGTTGGCAGAAAAAGTTTGTGCGTCAGAAAACCAGCCGGTCAGCAGTGTTAGAGGAGCATGTGTTATAGAAACACCTTAAATAGCCGACAAATATGGAGCAGTATCACACAAATATTAATTTAAAAAAAAAAACCCTCAACTAATTACGTTCTGTAGCTCATTAGTTGTAATCGCTAACACTAGTTAGGCCAATGTTGTCAGTTGCCATAGAAACATAACACTGTTGCTACCAGGCGGTGAGATGCGGAACTGCGGCTCAGAAACCACACATGACAATAAGAAGCATAATTTATTTTCAATACATGAAAAACATAACGTAAAAATGCATGTTGATGTTTTCAGTCTGTCTTTATGTGTACATTATATAACTGACATATAAAATAAAAAGTATCATGTATAACTGTAGTTTTCTAACGTTTCCACCAGTTTCATCAGAAGCTTCCTTCTTTTTGTTGTATTTCATGAGCCCTCCTCAGTAATTCTGCAAAAAAAAGGAAAGAATTAATATTAGAAATCGCTGTTCTGTTTTACAGTTTCCATCTCAATCCGGCTGAAAATACAAAAAGAAAGAAATTCAAATAGCGGCATGGATGAATCTAATTAGCGCTTTCTGCAGTGTAGTGATATAAGAATTTATTGTAACATTTTAGATAAGTAAAAGTATTATCCCTGTAAAAAAAAAAAAAAAAATTCCATGATATGTAAATATCCTCAGTTCAAAGAGCTGTTACTAGCAGGGTACTAGCAGGTATGTATATGTATATATATATATATATATGTATATATATGTATATGTATATATATGTATATGTATATATATGTATATATATATATATATATATGTATATGTATATATATGTATATATATGTGTGTATATGATATGTGTGTGTATATGTATATATGTGTGTATAGTATATATGTGTGTATTTGTATATATATGTTTGTTTATGTGTATATATAATATTAATGTTTCTTTAACTATTGAGATCAATAAAGAAGTATCGAATGATACTAAACCTCTGTGCTGTCCTGTAAATAGTTAGTTATTGTCCACTGTAGAATTTAAAAATGCTGTTTACCTCTATCATTTCGTAGATCCAGCCCAAGAATTTGGCCACTTTGGTGTAAACTCCAGGATGATTGGGCTCAGCACAGCCTGTTCCCCAGCTGACGACTCCCACCAGCCTCCATACATTGTCATCCTGGCAAACCAGAGGGCCCCCACTGTCCCCCTGGAGAGGTAGACCCAAACACTGTTCACTGCATCTACTCATAAAAGAGAAGCTAAATCTAGTGGTCAAAACAAGCCTCTGACCTGACATGCGTCCACTTTTCCCTCTGTGTAGCCGGCACATAGCATCCGTGCTGTGATCTCTCCATTGTACATGCAGGAGCTGTTACATTTCTTTGTGCTTATTATTGGGACTGGCGCCTCTTTCAGGGTGTCGGGTGAATGAACTGTGGGTGAAAGTTTCAATTTAGGACTGCTCCACTAATACACTTGGCTCACTCTGTCACCATCTGAGTATGGATTAGATTTGTAGCAGAGATGCATTTGTTTAAGAGCAGAGCAGTGTAGTAACATCTTACCCCCGTCGGGTTGTGTGTATCCCCATCCAGAAATCCAGCATTGTGTTCCTCCTGGAAGGTCATAGTCGTGCTGAGGCAGGCAGATGGGCCTGATTGTGTCTAGTCAAAAGGAGGAATTTTGCCTCTTAATACATTTAAATAGTTACAAGAGACATTAAGTTGTACTGCGAATATGGTTGGATTCATAAGTCATGTGAAGGAGTGTTATAAAACCACCCTTCACTGAGACGTGTTTTACCACGTTTAGACTTCAGTGTTTATCACAAGAAAGCTGTTTTCTCTTTAGTCTCTACGCTCATATCAAATCACAGCTGAAAAACAAGGAAGCTTTTATGATAGAGAAGCCAACTGTGGTCCTGTATACAACATAAAGAAAGTTGTCTCCCACTGAGATCAGAGCAAACAAAAAGGTAGCAGCCATACAAACTCACAGAATAACTTAAATATAACCGAATCTACATAAAATGCATCGTGCACAAAAATAGCCCTGCGTCTCTCTCATTGGATTCTATATGATGGCCTGATTTTTTGTTTGTTTTTGTTTTTTTTTACACTGTACAGTATTTGCATATTTATGTATTCTGTCCTTTGGAAGCTACATCTGTAATTCAGTTCATTTTTATTTATGTCAATTCAAAACAAGTCATTTCAAGGCTCCTTATGTTGTAAGGTAAAGAAGAAACAAAATGACAAAGGCAGACCTAAAGATCCCTCAGGATGTCTCAAAACATCTGGAGGCAGTGCTTTAATTGTTGCTGAGACCATAAGCTTATGTCTGAACAGCTGATTCTGTGAGATGTTAAAGATATTGGGATGCTTTTCATTTGAAGTGTATATCACTAGCAATACCACTTATATTGTTTATGATAAATTGTTATTAGCATATAAAAAGGTAAACTGAAGCCAAAGTACTTTTTTTTTTGTGTGTGTGTGTGTGTGGTTTTTTTTTTGGTTTTTTTAAAGAGTGCTGCGATGAGACTGACCTGAGAAATTGAACGGGGTCCGCAGCTTCATCAGTGCTATGTCGCTGTCGTGGGTCCTGTGGTTGTAGTTCTTGTTGTAGATGATCTTCTCCACCGCGTATCCTGCATGCTGAGCTGTTTTAGCAGAGCTGCGAGTCACAATGCCAGCATAGACCACCCAGCTGGATATCTGAGGTAGCCTGTAGCTGACATTTGGGAAAAGAAAAGAGAGAGTAGATCCTGATACTGCTACACCGGTACAGCTGTTAATGACTGATTTTTATCCTTCATCGTGGCTCCAACCTCTGACCTTTAGTACTTGTCAGGTCAGCAGTCTTACTTGTGTACACAGTGGGCAGCTGTGACTACCCATTGACTGGTGATGATGGAGCCTCCGCAGGTGTGACGGTTGCTGTAGTAAAGGCTGACCTGCCAGGGCCACCTGCCCAGCGTGGCCTCCACGCCCCCGATTATCCTGGGTAGCTTTGCTCGTGTGCCACACTCTAGAGATCCATTCATCAAAATGAAACGGAATTGGGTTGGTCAGAAAGAGCAGCAGCAGACGCCATCATTCATCCTGCTCCCATATAAAGCTTTTGTACAAAAACACTACTGGCCTTTGTGCGAGGTGCAAACTCAAATTAAAAGTTAAGTTTAATTTGCTCACCAAAACACTGCAAAGCGATAACCTTCCCTGTGATACAACTCCTCCTAAATGAAAATAAATTGGGTAACTAATGATGCATAATTAATGTATTAGCGGACGCAATTTTCCCTGCACCATTATGAGTGTGATGTCCTCTGACAGATTGCCTTACCTGAACTGCCACATATTTTCCAGGCTGCTCTTTTGTTCTGAGGTAATTTGTATGAAGCCGTCAGTGTAGTTTGGCCCGATATCAGTAAGGTTCACTCCTTTATGCTTGGTCAGTCTGGTAAGGGAACATTTGAAAAATGGGTGGGAGTGAGTATTGCGATAATTTAGTCTCATGAGGTGTGAAGCAAGATTGTAAATGAGGTATTAATAGATCATAAATAAGGCGAGCCTTCAACCTAAAATTAAACCAAGTTAGAGAATGGGCTCTCAGCTTTTTTAAATGGTGCTATAAAGAAGCAGCATGTGATCCTCGCAGACTGCGGAAAAGCATCACCTCAGATAACCCAGCTGTCTGCAGACCAGTGTTCCCAGCGAAGAGTTCCACCTCTCATAGCACACTGGAAGCCAGGTGGGCAGCTTCCCCAGCTGGATCTCCAGGAGGGAGTTCTCGGGACTGATTCTGTAAAACACTGAACCTGATTGATTGAAAATCCCTCCAGAGACAAGCTCTCAGTCAACGTTTATGATCAAGCCCCTTCTATGAGTGGGAAATGATTAGGGAAAACACAAGTATCTATGCTAATGTAGTCAGTAGAAACAGATTATTATGTGTGATGTTTTCATGTCGGTCAATGGGCATCTCTCAGGAGTGAAGAGAAGACAACAAGTAGCAGCTGCTGAATTTTAATTTTTGTTTCTATTCAATTAAGAAACACTTCAGAGGTGACCCATGACCTGATATAATGAAGCACATACAATAAGCTAAGCAGCCACACATTAACGTGCTGCATTATAATTCATAAAACAGTGAAAGAAACGCTACCACGAGGGAGTACACACAGACCTTTCCGCGAGTCAGATACGGAAATATCCTCCGTCACATTGCAGAAGGATGTCTCCTTTGTGTCCCCGAGCCCCACTGGACTTTGGGAGGACGATGGCCTCAGCAAAAGTTTGACTAAAAGTGGATTAAAAGAGATAATCTTTTAATCAGGCTGCAAAATGGGCAGCAAAACATTGTTGATTTTTCCTAATATTACCAGATTATCTGAATGAGAACCCAAAACAGACCAGCATCTGGGACAGCAATAAAATGTCATTAAATATTGTTCATTTCTATCTGCAAATCCAGCTAATTAGAAAACAGCTAATTTAAAAAAAAAAAGATTCATTTTTCAAAATGCGTTTTCTCTATCTTAACTTGAATGTTGTCGCGTGTTTCCATCAAATTTGAGAGACTTCAATGCAGTGAATAAAAAATCTAAATTGGGGCAGCTGAGCCCAACATTGCCCTGATTTTTAGCTGGTGATTATAGTAAGGCTCCAAAAACACAAACCATTTAATGAATTATCAATTTTTCATGTTGTCCATTAAAATTGTTTGACATTTTAAAAAAAGTATCAGTTTACTTACACCAGAAGTCTGAATCAGGGAAATATCATTTCAATGCAATGATTTGCCAAACAATAAAAATGTGTGTTTAACTACTAGCTATACAAAGACATGTGAAAAGTTTATTATTTCTTAAAACATATTCTCACTTGATTTTAAAAGTTCTGATGAGAGCAACAAAACCCTGGAAAGGTTGTGTAAGACTAGATGAGAAAAAAAAACTTGAGAGGAAGATCTCACAGCTGATTAGTTTAATGAGTAACATGATTGGGGATAAAAGAGCATTCCAGAGAGGCTGACTCTTTCAGAAGAAGAGAGACGGGTTCACAACTCTGTGGGCAAATAGTTCAGCAACTTCAGTGTAATGATTCTCAGTCTAAAACTGCAAAGGACTTAAGGAATGAGGTATCTGCTGCACATAATATCATTAAAAGATTCAGAGAAGC